GTGACCATTCAGGACTGAATTAAAAAAACTTAAATAATTACTTAATACATCTTGAGAACCCAAATTCCAAATTATAACATAAATAAATTAGCTTTGTTTTTGTGCTTTGTTTTTGTAACTAAAATAATTCAGTAAATTGTTATGAGTTTACCTATTTACCTCATAAGTGGGGATAGAAATAGGTCAGGATTATGAAATTACGTACAGTTCCTTTCATCATTAAATAAAATAAATAAAATGGTGTGTAGTTATGAAATAGAGAATTGTGTTATATAAGAGAAGTATTGTTCTTTTTATTCAAGGAAAGGTGCTTTTGATACTGATGCCGCAGCAGCTGAAGTGTCGGCCATGTTGTATCCGCTGGCTGCTGTCTCCATGGAAACAGAGAGAGGGAAATCCATGTGTGCGCCCCAGCCCCCACCCTCGCTCTCCACCCTCTCCACCCCCTGTGCGTACAACAACAGACGTGGCCCTCATTACAGCGGCTCAAATACACTGTCACTGTACAACGCTAGAGGTGGGTTTCATATTCCAGATGCTTTTTCTTCTTGATTTGCCAAGAAATATCCAAATGAAGTCACAAATGTTGATCCTAATATTTTCTGTGAGTGACTAGACCTTTATTACTTCCCCCATTACAACAGAAATATGCAGTTTACCATTTTAAAGTTCCGCAGTATGGCATTAAACTTGCTGCTTTCAATGAACACAAGCACATGAAATGACAAGACCTAAACAGGACTAAACCGTGGACTAAACTTAAACCAGGGTTAAATTGGGATTAAATCAGGACTAAATTAGGATTACACCAGAACTGAATCAGGACTGAAGCAGGACTCAACCAGGATTTAACCAGGACTAATCCAGGACTAAACCAAGACTGAACCAGGACTAAACCGGGGCTAAATTAGGACCAAAACCAGGACTAGACTAGGACTAAACCAGGACTAAACCTTGACTAAACCAGGACTAAACCAGGTCTAAACTAGGACTAAACTGGGGCTAAATCAGGACCAAAACCTGGACTAAACCAGGGCTAAATTGGGATTAAATTAGAACTAAACCAGGACTGAATCAGGATGGAACCAGGACTTAACCAAGACTGAACCAGGACTAAACCGGGGCTAAATCAGGACCAAAACCAGGACTAAACCAGGGCTAAACCAGGACTAGGCCAAGACTAAACTGGGGCTAAATCAGGACCTAAACCGTGGCTTAAACTAGGGCTAAAATGGGATTAAATCAGGACTAAACCAGGACTGAATCAGGATTGAACCAGGACTAAACCAGGACTAAACTTGGACAGAACCAGGATTTAACCAGGACTAATCCAGGACTAATCCAGGACTAATTCAGGACTAAACCTGGATTGAACCAGGACTAAACTGGGGCTAGATCAGGACCAAAACCAGGACTAAACCAGGACTAAACCAGGACTAAATCAGGACTAGACCAGGACTAAACCAGGTCTAATCTAGGACTAAACTGGGGCTAAATCAGGACCAAAACCGTGGTTAAACCAGGACTAAATCAGGACTTAAACCAGGACTAAACCAGGACTAAATTCACAAATGTCGATCCTGATATTTTCTGTGAGTGACTAGACCTCTATTCCTTCTTCTATTCCAACAGAAATATGCAGTTTACCATTATAAAGTTCCGCAGTATGGCGTTAAACTTGTCGCGATCCATGAAAGACAAGCACATGGCTGTACCGGGCAAAGTTACAGGTTAGATCTGGGGAGAGGCGACCCCGCTCACACTAAGAATACATGCTTTTTTCAACGTATTTTTGCTTGAATGCTAAGATACATACTGTACGTCTAATGCCTTACTGTGGAACATTCGAGGTAAAGGAATAACATCGGCATTGAAACAAGCAGGTGGCGGACCCTCTACCAAAAAAAGTTACACAGTGTATCTTAAAATATTAATGGCCTAGAATGACGGAGAAAAAAAACAGTTTCTTAGTCTCAACGTTGTATTTGAGCATCACAAAAAGGATCATTTAACGTGACAGATGTAATTTACTTAAGTTGGTCCAGTAAAATGTAAATAACCAGGTCTGAACCAGGACTAAAGCAGGACTAAAGCAGGACTAAATCAGGACTAAATCAGGACTAAATCAGGACTAAATCAGGACTAAAGCAGGACTAAATCAGGACTAAAGCAGGACTAAAGCAGGACTAAAGCAGGACTAAATCAGGACTAAAGCAGGACTAAAGCAGGACTAAAGCAGGACTAAAGCAGGACCTTGAGCAGTGGTGGTGTTTGACCTGTTGTTGTTAAATCCCAGAGGGCAGAGCTCATCCGGACAACAGCAGCTGCTCCACACAAACAGAAACAGAAACAGATGGTGACAGAGAAAACACGGACCCATCAGCATCACGCATGTGCAGCCCTGGTAAGACCCGGACTAAACCAGGACGAAACCAGAACTAAACCAGGACTAAACCAGGACTAAACCAGGACGAAACCAGAACTAAACCCAAACTGAACCAGGACTAAACCAAGACTAAACCAAGACTGAACCAGGATTAAACCATGGCTAAACCAGGGCTAACCCAGGATTTAACCAGGACTAAACCAAGACTAAATCAGGACCAAAACTGTAACTAAACCAGGGCTAAACTAGGACTAAATTTGGACTAAACCAGAGCTAAACCAGGACTAGACTGGGACTAAATCAGGACCAAAACTGTGGCAATACCAGTGCTAAATCCGGACTAAATCAGAACTAAACCAAGACTAAACCATAACTGAATCAGTATTGAAGCAGGACTCAATCAGGACTCAACCAGGACTCAACCAGGACTAAACCAGGACTGAACTAAGACTAAACCAGTAATAAACCGGGGCTAAACCAGGGCTAAACTGGGACTAAATCTGGACTAAACAAGGGCTAAACCAGGAATAACAAGGGGCTAAATCAGGACTAAACCAGGGCTAAACCAGGACTAAATCAGAACTAAATCAGGACTAAACCAGGACTGAATCAGGACTGAACCAGGACTAAATCGGGACTAAATCAGGACTAAATCAGAGCTAAACCCGGGCTAAACCAGGACTAAATCGGGACTAAATCAGGACTAAACCAGAATTAAACCAGGGCTAAACCAGGACTAAACCAGGACTGAACTAAGAATAAACCAGTACTAAACCGGGGCTAAACCAGGGCTAAACTGGGACTAAATCTGAACTAAACCAGGGCTAAACCAGGAATAAGAAGGGGCTAAATCAGGACCTAAACCGTGGCTAAACCAGGACTAAATCAGGACTAAACCAGGGCTAAACCAGAACTAAACCAGGGCTAAACCAGGACTAAATCAGGACTAAACCAGGGCTAAACCAGGACTAAACCAGGGCTAAACCAGGACTAAATCAGGACTAAACCAGGGCTAAACCAGGACTAAATCAGAACTAAACTAGGACTAAAACCAAACCAAAACTAAATCAGTCCTGGAACTTAACCTTATTGGAAAAGGGCACACTGACAACAACAGACAAACAAACAAGGCCTAGTACAGAGAGTCAGACGGTCTTGATTGACAGGTGGATTAGCCAATCAGGGACACACATGGCCTAACATATCCAAATATGACTCTTAACATACAAACAAACAACACATTTTGTTCAAAACGCCATGTGACCAATGAGCTCCTTTGTTTCACACGCGTCAAAGAAATAAACAAATCTGATTAGACAATTCTGTTTGGTTCACATAAACACACACACACAGAAACACACACACACACATCTGTGGCTCAGATTAGCAGCTCATATTAAACCAGCCATTTAACACACTGCTGCACACATGATCCCAGGACACACAATATAAGACTAATCTGAATTATGTCCACAGAGAGAGAGGGAAAGAGAGAGATGAAGAGAAAGAAAGACTTTTAATAATACACTGATTATGTCACTTGTTACTTAAAATCCTGCAAAACAACCAAAGAAAACAAAAAGCCTAAACTCAGTCTCCCAATCCCCCCTTTATGCCGGACACACACTGTGCCATATTTTGGATGGTTTCACTCAACCGCAGCTCAAACTGTACGACAAAATCACAGGGTTTAAAGTTCCCAGCTCATGATTCATGTTGTCACCCTATACGAGCAACTTCAACAGAGCGAAACCTTCACGAGAGGCGGTTTGATGTTCTTGTCACCTATGCCGATCGGGAGCTGGTCGTGAGGTTTTAATCGGTTCTGGTTACCCCATGTTTACTACACAAAGCACGACGCCCAATCCCAAAAACTGTTGAATCAGCTCAAAAAGGGCCAAAAATCGCACTGTGGTTTATAGATGTAAAACCAACTGCCCCTCCCTCACCGAATACGAACGCCTCCTCACCGCCCACATTGCCTCAAAGTCCTCCACCTGTCCCACCAGTGTCTGAAAGTCCTCCACTTGTCCCACCAGTGTCTCAAAGTCCTCCACTTGTCCCACCAGTGTCTCAAAGTCCTCCACCTGTCCCATCAGTGTCTCAAAGTCCTCCACCTGCCCCACCAGTGTCTCAAAGTCCTCCACTTGTCCCATCCAGTGTCTCAAAGTCCTCCACCTGCCCCACCAGTGTCTGAAAGTCCTCCACTTGTCCCACCAGTGTCTCAAAGTCCTCCACTTGTCCCACCAGTGTCTCAAAGTCCTCCACCTGCCCCACCAGTGTCTCAAAGTCCTCCACCTGTCCCACTCAGTGTCTCAAAGTCCTCCACCTGCCCCACCAGTGTCTCAAAGTCCTCCACCTGCCCCACCAGTGTCTCAAAGTCCTCCACCTGTCCCCACCAGTGTGTCAAAGTCCTCCACTTGTCCCATCAGTGTCTCAAAGTCCTCCACCTGTCCCACCAGTGTCTCTACAAGGCTCATAATAATGTGTTAAAAGGGCCAAAACAGCTAAAATGAAGTAATGCATTCTCTATGTTAATGTCAGTAATTAAAAAACAGACACATTCTATTTTTTTTTTAATATGATGTCGTCTGTGGAGTGCCGCTAGGGGGCGCACCGGTAGAAGGAGTTAGAAATCCAAGGGACAGGCCTGCAGTCCTGAGATGCTAAAGGCTAATCATGTGTCCCTTGTATTCTTTTTCCAGGTTAGTAAAAAGTAATTTGTGTCACACCCAAACAATACTGGTGTTGAGATAAAACCGCTAATATGTATCTGTGTAAATGTGAACACTGGTTGAAGCGAAGTTATGTGTAAAGTGCATTTTGAAGCGATAGCTAGCATAGAGTGGGCTAGCGCAGTTGTAAAGATGCAGCCGTGAGGAGACAGCGCGGTGTGTTTTAACTTCATTATTAGACACGGGGTGAGCTGTTCATCAACTTTTCTAAGCTTTTACTTTGTACATTTCCGTAAAGCTTCAGCACAGGATGTACATGTTAAAGTTGCAGTTCATGTGCAAGTGCAGCGCCAGTGTAATTGTTGATGTCACGGGCTGGTCGCCATGTTAAGTTGTTGCAGCTAAGTTAGTTACATAATTAGTAATTAATTAGATTTAAATGGTACAGTTTTGTTTGGTTATTAATTAATGTATAAATATAAAACTTTAAACATGTATCAATAAGTTCTGTAAGATGCCACGGAAATGTTGTATAATTGAGTTGTGTAGCCACATGGAAATTATTTGTTATAGCAGAATAAACCGTGCAGTCCTGAGATGCAAAAGGCAAATCATGTGTCCCTTGTATTCCTTTTCGAGGGTTTATCTTCACACCCCTCTCGAGCACGGGAGAGGCAACATCTCAAAGTCCTCCATCTGTCCCACCAGTGTCTCAAAGTCCTCCACCTGCCCACCAGTGTCTCAAAGTCCTCCACCTGTCCCACCAGTGCATTGTACATGAACTGCACATTGAGTTTCTTCAAAAGGAGTTCGGAGTCTGTGCAGGATGAGCCGGACATGCCAAGCGGTTCTTCCTCCTGAGCCACACATTCATTTTTGCCTGACCCAGGACTGACCTCACAGAAAACTTGGGTCCAAACACAAAGAGCTCAAGGGTCAATGTTTGGCCCAGAGTGTGCGGCCACGGTCCCAAGAAGATGAGAAGGTGAAGGAGAGAGAGAGATGGATAGGCCAAAAGAGGAGAGTGAGAAAGACATAGAAGGAGAGAGAGATGGAGACAGAGACAGAAGAGGACAGAGACAGAAGGAGAGACAAGAAAGAGAAAGATGGAGAGACAAAGAGAAACAGAAGGAGAGACAGAGACAGAAGGAGAGAAACAGAGACAGAAAGAGAGACAGAGACAGAAGGAGAGAGAGAGACAGAAAGAGAAAGAAACAGACAGGAGGAGAGAGAGAGAGAGAGACAGAAAGAGAAAGAAGGAGGGAGAAAGAGAGACAGAAAGACAAGGAGAGAGGGAGAGACAGAAAGAAACAGACAGAAGGAGAGAGACAGACGGAGAGCGAGAGAGAAAGAAACAGACAGAAGGAGGGAGAAAGAGACAGAAAGACAAGGAGAGAGGGAGAGACAGAGACAGAAGGAGAGAAAGAGACAGAAGGGGAGAGAAAGAGAGACAGATAGGAGAGAGAAAAAAGGAGGAGGGTGGGTGAGAGACAGAGGAAAAAGAAAGAGAGACAAAAACAGAGGTGAGAATGAGACATAGAGCACTTTTCAAACCACAAATATTTATGCTTAAGAGAGAAAGAGACTTAAAAAGGCGTAGACAAATGAGTCAGATGTAAAAGAACGTTTCCTGAGCACACAAACCCTCAGAGATACTGGTGATGAAGAGGAGAGGGAGAGGCTGAGGGGGCTGCTGCTTCTGCTCATGATTATTCCTTACAGTTTCCTTACAGTTTCCCTCCCATTTGACCTGCAACATTCATGATGTGGACTTCCTGTTCAGCCTCCAAGGGAACCACTCATCCTCTCCTATTCTTCCTCCCACTCCTCTTTTCTCTCCCTCTCTTCTTCTCTTCCTCATTCTCTCTCTTTCTCTTTCATTTATTCCAGTTAAAGCCAATAAAAAGAGTAAAGGCTGGAATAACTTTGACTAGACCAGGACTAAACCACAACTGAACCAAGAGTGAACCACCAGGACTAGACCAGGACCTAACAAGAACTTAACCAGGACTATACTAAAACAGAACTAAAGCCAGACTAAACCAGGTCTAAAACAGGACTAAAACATGACTAAAACTGGACTTAAACACAAGTAAACCCCGACTAAACCAGGACTAAACCAGGATTTAACCAGGATTTAACAAGGGCTAGACCAGGGCTATATCACGATGAACCCAGGACTAAAACAGGACTAAACCAGGTCTAAGGCATGACTAAAACACAACTAAACCCGGACTAAGCCAGGAATAAACTGGGACTAAATCAGGACTAAACCAGAACTAAAACCACAACTAAAACAAGAATAAACCAGGTATGAAATAGGACTAAACCAGGACTATACCACGATGTCAATGCAGGACTAAAATAAGATTAAACCAGCACTAAACCAAGACTAAAACAGGATTAAACTGGAACTAAACCAAGACGTACTGTTCCACATCTTGTCAAAGAGCGAGTGACATTTCTTTGACATGTTCTCAAATATTTACCGAGCTTTTAGTGTGATCATGTTTCTAATAATCCTTTATCTGTTTAGTGGGTGTGGTTTTCAAACAGCTCTGTCCTTGTTAACATCCTTTTATGAACATTTTACTATTCAAATCACCAAAACACCAAATGGACTCTTCACCGCTGGGCTACAAATGTATGAACAAGATCTGAAAACAAGGTTTAATATATAGATATATAAAGAACTAAACCAGGACTGAACAAGGTCTAAACCAGGACTAAACCAGAACTAAACCAGGACTGAACCAGGACTAAACCAGAACTAAACCAGGACTGAACCAGGACTAAACCAGGACTAAACCAGGACTGAACAAGGACTAAACCAGAAGTAAACCAGGACTAAACCAGAACTAAACCAGGACTGAACCAGGACTAAACCAGGACTGAACAAGGACTAAACCAGAAGTAAACCAGGACTAAACCAGAACTAAACCAGGATTAAACCAGGACTGAACCAGGACTAAACCAGGACTAAACCAGGACTAAACCAGAACTAAACCAGGATTAAACCAGGACTGAACCAGAACTGAACCAGGACTAAACCAGGACTAAACCAGGACTGAACCAGGACTGAACAAGGACTAAACCAGGGCTAAAACTAATAACACTCGTCCACCTTGTGATGTCATGTAGTAAGGAAGTGCTCTTCTGTATTTTTAAAAATCCTCACACCTTTAGGAGAATCATTTATATACATTTTCATCCTGGAATTTCCAATCTGTACTGAACAAAAAGTAAAATCTTAACTCCCACTGCATGACATCACGAGGTGGAACAGAGCATTGTGAGCTAAGAATAAAAAAAAGAATTACTCAAACATGACTCCAGGTTTGTTTTTGACGAGAAAACAAAAATATAACCTGACTAAAAACTCACAAGAATCTATTTTGAAGAATCTATTACACCTTTACCCGTTCACATTTAGAGTCTTTTTTTTTTTTTTTCAGGTGGGAAGATGAACCATCCGAGCCTGTTCATCGCACTGAGCCACAAAGACAGAGAGGGAGGAAAGAGAGAGAGAGAGAGCACAAAGGAGGGAGGAGGAGGAGGAGATCCGCGATTCTGTGTCCAAAGGGTGGAGCTTGTTCTGTGCTTTCACTATTCTGCTCCTGCTTCTGCCCAGACCATCTCTCCCTCTGCGTGTCCGTCTCCTGGAAGACAACGCGTGGATTTAAGACTCCCGAGCCTGGATGTAACCGCAGAATTAAAAAAAAAAGGTCAGTCGCTTTGGCTTTTAATAACATGTGATGAAGACTATTTAAGGTGTTGTGGCATGTGTCTGTTGAAATAGGGATGGGTTGTAACAGACGGCATGCAAGGCTGGGGAAAAAAAAAACCAAAAAAAATGAGGAATTTGACAAGATTGTTTACATTTTTTGGGAGAATTTCAAATCAATGTGAGTTAAATCTGGGTGTGTGTCATCATATCTCTCCGTACTATGAGACACACTCTTTCTTTGTCACTTTAGATCACATTTGTAACCCAAAATATGTCAGATTTGCATGAGGAAATATTGGAAATTTCTACTGTGGTTTTAAGAAATTTATTGGAATAGCAGTGGTGGTTTTTCATAGGATTTGAACAGATTTTGTAATGTTGAGCACCAAAAAATTTGAAGCTTTAAAAAGAAAAGATATTTGGACCAGTAACGGAGAAATGAGAGACAAAAGATAATAAGAAATATAGAAGGGGGAGGGTTAAGTGTGCGAAAAACAAGAGCTGAAAACAAGATTTAATATATAGAAACAAGCAAGGGCTGAACCAAGACCAAACCAGGACTAAACCAGGACTAAACCAGAACTAAACCAGGACTAAACCAGAACTAAATCAAGGCCAGATCAGGAATTAAACCAGGGCTTAACCAGGACTAAACAAGGGCTACACCCAAGACTAAACCAGGGCTAAACCAGGACTAAACCAGGACCAAACCAGGACTAAACCAGGACCAAACCAGGACTAAACCAGGGCTAAACCTGGACCAAACCAGGACTAAACCAGGAATAAACCAGGACCAAACCAGGACTAAACCAGGTCTAAACCTGGACCAAACCAGGAATAAACCAGGACCAAACCAGGACTAAACCAGGGCTAAACCTGGACCAAACCAGGACTAAACCAGGAATAAACCAGGACCAAACCAGGACTAAACCAGGGCTAAACTTGGACCAAACCAGGACTAAACCAGGACTAAACCAGGACCAAACCAGGACCAAACCAGGACTAAACCAGGGCTAAACCAGGGCTAAACCTGGACCAAACCAGGACTAAACCAGGAATGAACCAGGACCAAACCAGGACTAAACCAGGGCTAAACTTGGACCAAACCAGGACTAAACCAGGACTAAACCAGGACCAAACCAGGACCAAACCAGGACTAAACCAGGGCTAAACCTGGACCAAACCAGGACTAAACCAGGACTAAACCAGGACTAAACCAGGGCTAAACCTGGACCAAACCAGGAATAAACCAGGACCAAACCAGGACTAAACCAGGGCTAAACCTGGACCAAACCATGACTAAACCAGAAATAAACCAGGACCAAACCAGGACTAAACCAGGACTAAGCCAGGGCTAAACTAGGACTAAAACCAAGGCCAAAATAAGAATACATCAGGACTACACTTAGGACTAAAATAGGACTAAACCAGGACAAAACTAGGGCTAAACCAGGACCAAAACTAAGGCCAGACCAGGAATTAAACAGAGCTTAACCAGGACTAAACCAGGGCTACACCCAGGACCAAAACTAGGACTAAACCAGGACTAAACCAGGACCAAACCAGGGCTAAACTAGGATGAAAACCAAAGCCAAACTAGGAATACATCAGGCCTAAACAATAATTAAACCAGGACTAAACTAGGTCTAAACCAGAACTAAACCAAGACTAAACCAGGACTAAACCATGAATAAACTAGGACTAAACAAGAACTAAACCAAGACTAAACTAGGTTTAAAGCAGGACTAAACCCAGGACTAAACCTGAACTAAACCAGGACTAAAGCGTGCAGTCTAATATTGCATCAGCACATGGAAAAGATGGAGGAGGTGGGGCAGTTTTCAACATTATTACTGTTCAACGTCGCAAAGAAACCTGGAAAAAGAAAGAATGGATTTTGTAATCTTAATCAAGATTAAAAACAGGCCTAAATCAGGATTAAACCAGGACTAAAAATATTGTCATTGCACTTTTATTATTAATTTAGAACCAGAAATAAACAAGGACTATGCCAGCACCAAATCAGGACTAAACCAGGACTAAAGCTGGACTTTAAACCAGGACTAAAAATAAGCGTAAATCAGGACTAACCAGCACCAAACCAAGACTAAGCGATTACATTTTATTGTCACACCAGGACTAAATCAGAACTTAACACTAAACCAGGACTAAAGCAGGACTAAATGAAGAGAAATCCAGGACCCGATCAGGACTAAACCAGGACTAGTTTAGTACATTGAAACGGTGTGTTGTTGTGTGCACATCGATGTCTCTAGAGTTTGAACAGTTCCAGGACAAACACAGTGACCCAGTGTTGTGCTAACAGGATCCGGGTGTGTTTAGATTCACTCAGAGGCCAAAAATGTGACGCTCTGGAACTGAACACAAACAAACTCGATCTTACTTTTATTATAAAGATTTCGGAAGTGCTTTAGTGCATTCTTTATTGCCCTGTGCATTTGAGCCATCCTTCAGGGTCACTGGGGTTAACTCTGTCAGTGTGTCATCAGGTCTGTCCAAAAGTCAAGGACAACAATTTACACACAATAGAAGCATTTTTCTGATAATTCAATTTGGTTTTTATTAAGAACACACACATTTGGTTCATTATAAGTAACCAGGACTAAACCAGGACCAAATCAGGACTAAACCAGGACCAAAACCAGGACTAAATCAGAACTAAACCAGGACTAAATCAGAACTAAACCATGACCAAACCAGGACTAAATCAGAACTAAACCAGGACTAAATCAGAACTAAACCATGACCAAACCAGGACTAAACCAGGACTAAACCAGGACTAAACCAGGACTAAACCTGGACTAAACCTGGACTAAACCTGGACTAAACCAGGACTAACCCAGAACTAAACCAGGACTAAACCAGGGCTTAACCATTACTAAACCAGGACTAAACTAGGACTAAGCCAGAACTAAACCAGGACTAAACTAGGACTAAACCAGAACTAAACCAGGACTAAACTAGGACTAAACCTGGACTAAACCAGGACTAAACAGAGCTAAACTAGGACTAAACTAGGACTAAACCAGGACTAAACCAGAGCTAAACTAGGGCTAAACCAGGACTAAACCAGGACTAAACCAGAACTAAACCAGGAGTAAACCAGGACTAAACTAGGACTAAACCAGGGCTTAACCATTACTAAACCAGGACTAAACTAGGACTAAGCCAGAACTAAACCAGGACTAAACTAGGACTAAACCAGAACTAAACCAGGACTAAACTAGGACTAAACCAGGACTAAACCAGAGCTAAACTAGGACTAAACTAGGACTAAACCAGGACTAAACCAGAGCTAAACCAGGACTAAACCAGGACTAAACCAGAGCTAAACCAGGACTAAACCAGGACTAAACCAGGACTAAACCAGGAGTAAACTATAGTAAGTAAGTATATTAAAAATAAATAAGAAGAAAAAATGTAATATACAGTGCATGTTATAATACAGGTAAAAGTTGAATTGATACTTTAAACACTGATTTAACAAAATAAAGTGTTATTTATTTCTATTTGTCAGATCATCTGAACTTTTGTGTAATTTAAAAGATTTGAAGTTTTGGACGTTGGTTCACATCTACTGACCCGTGTCCAACCAGGAAGATAAATCCTCTTAACAGTAATGACAAAAGTAGAAGTGTTGTATAATGTTGTGAAAGGTTAAAGTTTTAGTGAAATTAGTAGATAATTAATAGACTCACCTGTCATATGTACTTGTTTTCTTCTTGGACAAATAAAAATGCTAAATGAAGGTTTAAAATGTGTTCCTTGTAAAATGTCTCTGTATTTTGGATGGTAAAACTCAGCTCTACTTACCTACCTGCTCTACCTGTATTTTTTTTCTGCTCCTTTTTGCATATGTCACTGATGCAAAACTATAAACATGCAAAACTATGATACATAATTAACTCAGGTATTATCCCGCAAAACCCTGTAACTGTAATAGTGACAGACCTGGTTTAGTTAAAAGAAAAGTAAAACAAAAACAAAACAAAAACAAAAAAAACATGAAAACCTGTCATGGTTTACTCTTGGTTTAGTCCTGATTTAGTTCTGGTTTGGTCCTGCTTTGGTCCTGATTTAATCCTGGTTTTGTCCTGATCTAGTCCTGGTTTAGTCTTGGTTTAGTTCTGCTTTAGTCTGGGTTCAGTCCTGGTTTAGTCCTGGTTTAGTCTTGTTAAGTCCTGATTTAGTCTTGCTTTAGTCCTGGTTTAATCCTGGGTTAGTCTTGGTTTAGTCCTGGTTTAGTCCTGATTTAGTCTTGCTTTAGTCTTGGTTTAATCCTGGTTTAGTCTTGGTTTAGTCCTGGTTTATTCCTACTTTTGTCATGCATTAATCCTGGTTTAGTCCTGGTTAAGTCCTGGTTTATTCTTGTTTTAGTCCTGCTTTAGTCCTGCTTTAGTCTTGGTTAGTCTTGGTTTAGTCCTGGTTTAGTCTTGGTTTAGTTCTGGTTTAGTCCTGGTTTAGTCTTGGCTTAGACCTGGTTTATTCTTGGCTTAGTCCTGGTTTAGTTCTGGTTTAGTCCTGGTTTACTCCTAGTTTAGTCATGCTTTAGTCCTGGTTTAGTTCTGATTTAGTCCTGCTTTAGTCAAGCATTAGTCCTGCTTTACTCCTGCTTTAGTCCTGTTTTAGTCCTGGTTTAATCCTGGTTATTAAAATTATAATTCTAGGTCAATTTTAGTTTAGTCCTGGTTCTGGTTAAGTCCTGGTTTATGTCTGGTTTAATCCTGGTCCAGATCTGGTCTATCCTTTGTTTAGTCTTTAAAAAAACACTTTAAATCGTATAATTCTTGTAGTTTTTGCCTTCCTTGTAAATACAGTAAATTTCTTCTCTGAACCCATTTGACCTGGATTGTGACGTCATCTCCTCTCTGCATATTTCTCCTGTAAATTGTTTCTGGGCCGCTAACCACCAGCTCTGTTACATAACCCCGGCTTTAGACTCTTCTCCCAGTGTTTGAGGAAAATCACTTTTGGA